AGTTCGAAGCGGTCCTACTGCCGGTTTGGTCCTCAAAGATGGGGCTTCGTTGCGGTGAATGGCCCTCTCACGACAAAGTGGTCCATTTTTGAGATACCACATGTCTCTCCTTGTTTCCTCTTACTAATAATTACCCATATCCAGAGCGTAGCTTTCTTTTTACAATCAACTACCAGTCGTTGGATTAAGGGCTGTTAAGCGGTTGAGCGTGTTTCGATGGTATCACTTTGAGAATGGAGGCTATCGCAGCTATCAAACAAGTGCTTTTTGTCGAAACTCCAGGGTTTAGCGGTCAAATCGGTTGGTCCCACTGCCAACGGGACAGAACGAACGTGTTCACCCATTGAGCCTCACTTCCCGGTCATTATATAACCTATCACAAATCATCTTGTTTCCTGCTGCAATCCATTCACTGCAAGCTGGTGAGAGATTTCCTCTAACCGCTCCCATCAGCTCTTACCAACTGACCTCATTTTCTGCCATCAATACTGTTCCCATCCCACCCCCTCCATCACTTCTTGAAACCAACACCCTCCCCTACCAGCTCAAAGATGACGCGCGTAATGAACGCCGGGTTTTTCTTTCTAGCGCCCTTTACCAGTTGTTATAAATGTTGATAAGAATCCACAAAATGTCTTATTCGTAGCGGGTTTGAGCTATTTGCAAAGTTAAACGAATCATCAACAGCCGTCTGTGCAAAGAATGAGAAAAAGACCCATTTGTTGGATTCGCATTATTGACTTCTGCAAAAATAATTGGCCTTCAAAAGATGCTGCAGGCTTGTTCAGATCGTTCACCGAAATACGCATGCAAATGAATTTTCAAGTGAATTCAAATGAATTTTATGCACATTTACAGTCTACTTCCTTGGGTAGCCCTCACACCTTACTAAACTAGAGAATCGAAAAATCGGCGATTTGCGAGATTGGGAGGATCACAGATACCGCGAAAAAGGGTGTATACGTATTGATTGGGGAAATTAGGAGCCAGAGAATCATGGAATAGGAATGCAGAATGCGCGAAAAGGATCACAAATTTAATTTTAAAGAAAAAATCTCATTCAACAAAACTAATATTTAACTTTATCTCCTAGATGCGTATCGATCAAGTGAATTGGGGGGGGCACCAACTCTCCGATTCTTCAGTTCTCCGAATCAATACGTAGACTTTCCCTTTCTCGGTTTTTTGAACGGTCTCAATTCCATGTTTTGCCGATTCTTCATTTCTCTAGTTTCACATAGCATGAGCGTGGCCTAATGAGGAGTGAGAGAGCAACCAAAGTAACTTGGAACCACTGACGTGCCCCGACATTATTTCCAGTCGTTATGAGTTCCACTCTTCTGGATTAATCTTCTCTAAATCTCTCAGAATGTCTCTTCTGGTCAACCGTTCAGTATATCGACTCGTCCAGTTCCATTACAGGACGCGTGCATTCACCATCACCTCTCGAAACATATATAAACCACCAAAACGTACAAAATATCAATCTCATACCCGAATACAAGTCAAATCACACAATATTCTCTCGTATCGATGTTTTTGTAACTCGGACTCGGGCTTACAATACAGCTCTTACGTAGCCACACAGTAAACTATTTGAAAAGATGAACACTCACCTCTAGATGGCGAAGTTCCGACTGAGGAAACTGTTCGCGATCCATTTCTTGACTGCTTAAGGCCGTATGATAAGCAAGCTCCTATTTCCAATTTCACTGATGTGCAACTGAGACTGCGCCAACGATGAATGTGAGACTTGCTGCTAAGGCATTCACAACCTAGAATAATAAAAACCTGGCAAAAGTAGTGGATAACAGTTTGATAGGATGCACATGATTAGATATCGAGCTGAATAAATACACTTTCATCACGTTGTTTCACACTTCAGACCGCCTCTAGCGCAGCACTGATAGCGCCACTGCTGGTAGGAGGGGGCACGCAACGAGGTGACTCTGGTCGTCTGCACTCTTGAAGGCCAAACTTGAGGCGTGAAACGGATCACCCCGCCGTACCGGAGCATAAGAGCGCACTCAGTCGTGCTCTAGTGTGGCCCCTCCCAACTACAACATCGCACAGCTGCACCATTTAAAGCTGACTGAAGTGAGAAAAGACATCAGGTCATACTACTTTTAGGAAGAGGAACAGGAACATTCGAGAAATGTTAACCTAACCACCAAAGAAAAACAAGCAATGAAATGAAATTAAGTCACAAGAACACATACTACCATACAATCTTACAGGTACTCTTCATCTTCTATCAGTTCGAAGATGAACCGGTGCCAAAGCAACCATGTGGTCATTGAAAAATTCTCTCACATTTCGATGGAAAGCTTTATATACCTGACTAATTCTTATGAACTCTACTTCAAGACGTCATAACGGTCACGACTCCCGCATATACTAAACACACAAAAAAGACACTACTATCAACATAAACTGCATATCACTTTACAACGTGATAAAGTATGGCGCTGTCGTCGTGGCCTATCTATCGCCTGTACCACAGCTGAGCTTCACGCTTCCGCTTGATTTTCTTCTGTAGTTGCAGCACTCCATAAAGCAGCGCCTGAAATGAATGCAGTTTACTTAGAAGAAAATTTACATGTGAAAAATGGATCGGCTACGGCGAAGTTACCAGAAATCTTCGATGAATGGGATCCACAAATATAAGCTCATCAGTAAGGGAGAATTCCCAAGGACGACCTTCTCCTCACACAAGTCCCATCTACTCGGATGGGGCTTAGCTCTTGTGTATTTCGTACGGCTTATCTCAGCTCTTGTGTATTTCGTACATCTTGACCCATACCCTACCCAACCCACCCTTGATAAGGCCCCTCAAGGTGGCTCTTCAAATGTTGCCAACTCTGGAATTAAAGCATATGCTTTCAAAAGCCATCCTACTATTTTAAGATCCCTGCGGTATATTGTGAACTGCTATCACTTCCTACCACCCACCAGTAATATTCCTTCCCTACCCTACATCACATTTCGGAACCACCGTCTTTCGCAAGGAGCGGAGCTATTGATTCGGTAATGCTACCGTTTTACCCCGTACGGTATATCATCAACTGCTATCGCTTCCTACCACCCACCACTAGTGAGGGGTATTTCGCTCACCCTACTACTTTACTGCCCTACTTCTGAATTCAGAAGACATTTAATCGGAATTTTTCCCTGGCTATATATCTAACCGAAGGATTGATCCATGAGGGACAGTGACTCGAAAACAGCCACTTCAAATATAGCATCTGCTTGAAGCAAAAACGCCCAGCGCCAACGCTACAGGCGCCAGCGTCACGAGACCCGTTTTTGCGACGGCGCCCGTGGCGCACGCCAGGTGAATTCGCACGGAGCAAATATGGTAATCATGATCATGTGGCTTACAGCCGATTCGGTGTTTTGCCGCCTGAGTCTGTGTTCCGAATGAAGCAGATAATAAGCATGAGCAGAGGGTCAAATTGCCCCACGGAACGAAAATTTAGCCATTGCCGCCGACTGACGAAAATCTCAGTCAAAAATTGACTGAAATTTCGAAGACTGATGCAGAGGGTGAGCAACACTCACAGGTGGAAAAGGTGTCAATGGAGCGATTCATGAACATTCCACCACGATGTCTATGCGAAATGGAAGTATTGGATCACAAGATACTTGCGAGAAACTTTGCGCTCCAATAGACTGTGGGACGGCATCCCGTCCGCAAAAAGAGTTAATTGAAAATTGTCCCACTATAATTTACTAAACAGCATGTCGCCTAATGGCAAAGTCACAACCACAGTCCTAGCTGCGGATAGGTGGGTAAGGCTTTTCACCGTTCATCCAGGATGGTCAAGGACGCGATCATTTCGTTGTATAGAAAGAGGTCGATTCAGGCGCTTACAAGGGAGGTCGTTCAGGGCGTGGTGAGCTTTTTCAAAATGGTCTTGTGCATATTGTAGGGGCACATACGAGGACCAGAAAACTGAGGTTCATTTTCGCTGCGCGCTTCTACGAATAAAAAAACGTAAAAAATAGGTCGATGGTTCGGATCCCAGAGGCAAAATTTTGCTTTATTCTAGCAGATTTTTCCTTTTTTGTGATCGCATGTTTGTCTAAATTCAGTGGTCCTAACAAAAACATTCACGATAAACTGAACAATCCTACTTTATGGAGCAAAACTGCTTTTTCGTTCGAATTCGTTAGTATGCACAGACTCAGCTCTTCGGCGCTATGCCGGTGCCAGATGGCACTGGAACCGAAAATAAAGTCTAGAATCGTGATCAGGACTGTCGATTACCCCTAGGAGCAAGTTTTGAGCGAAAATTTTTTTTGACTTTTTCGGGTTGTAGGTGACCGACCATTTGGTCGGCAGTGTGAGCGGAGTCTCACATCTTCGTAACAGCGATGACGTATCGTTGGCGCTACGGACACCGGACAACCCAATAAGCAAACCCAAGAAGGTCAAAACTTGGTTTGCAATAATTGTTTTTTTAGTGTCATCAGTTGTCCTGACAAATATATTCTTGGCGTCCACGCAATCTGGCGACAGAATAGCGCTGAACGTTCCCTATATTGGTGTACATAACGAATTCAGTGGAGAAGATGTGGCCCAAATTGTCTATAGATCGCAGCCGCCCAGAATTACTAGAAATTCGGCAATAGATACTTGTATCCTAGCCTATGAGAGCAACGTCCCGGTACCATCTTGTTCAATGGTGCTGTGAGAATGATACATTGATAGCGCTGACCAGTGAGGTATAATCTCAGACTGTGGCACATAAATGGCAAATATCCCGGGTTATATTCTGCGCAGGCAAAAGGACGGACAGCGAATGCTAAACTGCAAAAAGCTTACGACGCAGAGGGGAGCGACATCAAACCCCACTGTCGGATTGCAAAACTCCCTTCATCCACTAGGCATACGATGCTCTGACGAGTGATACGCTCTATCGTTGATGGGAACAGTGCAGAAGCCATTCACATTGAGCACCATGACAGTTTGGTAAGGCTCACTTGCGGGCATTTTCCGCTTCGTTCAAAATAGCGCTCCTTTATAAGTGACCCACACGAATGTCAAAGTTGCAAGTGACCTACGCCGTAAAGAGGCCCAGAACGAAGCAGATTCCAAAGATTTCTTTTCACTCGTTTTTTACCGTTCCTGGAAGCGCGCAGCGAAATGAAGCAGCACTTTCAGGTCCTTGAGTGGCCCTACATATGCCACAAACGGTTTTTTCGAAAAGTTACCACGCCCTGAACGACCTCCTTGTTATTCGTTGTATAGAAAGAGGTCGTTCAGGGTGCTTAGATCAACCTAATTCCAGTGAACATTCCATAGTGCGCTAGAATCTCAAGGTCACTCGCCCGAAGTCTCAGCCTCAGTTTCCAAGAGTTTCGATAAAATAAACATCTAAATTCTTCAGTAGCGAGAGATTACCAATAACAATAACCCAGGTAACTATGCAAAACCCGAACGGTCTGTGGTTTCCCAGCACCTAAAGTCTACAGTAACGGCGAATAGGACTGCATTAACCCGAGTAGTCGCAACAAATGGCGGAAACAAGTTGGTGCCGCGCCGCAACGCACGTACGCAGGAACGCCTCCACAAGACCGCGACAGGGAGTTATGCCTTGCTACGTCATATTCTTGAACTTGGTCAGGTTTCCTTTTCCGTTCGGCGCACTGTAAACCTACACCTGAGCGTAGTTGGAGGGGAGGGGCCTTTTGCACTTTCGCTGCATACAACTGTCATGTTCACTGCTTTGCAAGAGCTGACAGGTATTCTTTACGAGAGTTGACAAGTCGTGACCCGACAATGAGAGAGCGAAGGTACAAAATGCCTCCCCCAACTGCCGCTGAATTGCGCCGAATTACAACTGATGGAGAACTACTCCCACAATGGCCCGCTCTCGACAGCAACCTCTTCTCTTCCTTACTTGGCGTGTATATCACTCCAACAGCAGAGAGATGAAAAACCACTGATTCCACACGGGAAATTTTCTTAATTTTTTTCCAGAGCCATATCCGCATAAACAGAAAATCTCAGAAAAATGAGATACTTACCTCAGCAGTTGGTGGGCAGCCAGGAACATAAATATCAACTGGTATAACACGGTCGCATCCACGAAGCACCGAATAAGCGTAATGATAGTATCCACCTCCATTGGCACACGAACCCATTGATATTACCCATCTGAAGCAAGGAAAATCAATAAGGCGACAAAAAACGGAAAGGAAGAGAACCAGCTTTGAAAGCGCTACGACGAAGCGAGGAAACCGGAGCGTTTGCAGGCCATAATGACAAAATAACACCACAAACTCAGCTAGAACCATTAAAGGTACTCCTTTTGGAAACAGAAGGTGACAATCAGAGATTTGTACTAATACCACCTACGTTATGCTGTCATTACTTGAAGCTACTCGGAAACTCATCACTTCCCCACAACGCCTTCTTTAGTACGTTACTCAACGCATGAGAAAGTAATGTTCAACTCTTTTTATCGAGCATCTGACTGACACCAGAACTTTATTCTGCTGACTTTCTTCATACACCAGTCGGATCGCCCGGCTGTCGCCGGGCGCTCCTCCTTCTGTGACATGGCCCGGCTTCGCCGGGCCATGCGGATTTGCCGCGTGCTAAGTTAAGGATCGTTGACCAACCACACTGTTCAAAGGAATCTTCTGCATCAGCCAAGAACTGAAAAGCAGCGCTTACCACTACAGACAAGAAGCTTACGCTTGTAACGCTGTATCAAACCTAACACCATAATGCCCTCACTAAGCCGCAAGTTTCACCCAGCTGAAAAAACCCATTAAACCGATTCCCTTCACTGAGGTTGCTCGATGACGACGAAGAGTAATTACTGGTAGCAGCCCAAAGATTAAAGTCAGTTGCTGCTGACATTAAGGCAACTGCTCTGATAAAACCCACTCTTGGCATGGAGCACGCGCCGCGCCCCGCCCGCTGCGAATACCAGCCCGCAGAGCCCACTGGCGCGCGGGGCGCCGCGCACGAGGGCGGCGTCAGCGACAGCACAACACACGTAGACGGAGGGGGGGGCTGGACGGCACGATCAGGCGCTCGGCAGTACCCCGCGAGCCCACACGATCAGGTCGACTGGCCGGCCCCACTACCCAGCGTGGACTAGCGAAGGACTGACCGATTCCTCGCCCCGGAGACACGCCGCACGCCGCGGCGGCAGGAGGGGGTGCCGGCCGAGCGCTGGCGTCAGCAAAAGACAGTGAGGGCCGCCCGGCTTAGCTCACGCGAGGCACCACGCAGCCCCACCGTCAGGCCGCAGCGGCGCCGCAGATTAAGCCTCCCACCATGGCAGTCGCGGTGTCGTCTAGAACACCGAGTTACCGCCTTAAAGGCACACACACACGCGGCAGAGCACTCAGCACCAGCCAGTCACTCCACACGATTTAGTCCGACAGCGAGGCCGCCACAGGCCGAACCGACCGATCAGCGATACCCGGCTCGCTATCAATATCTTCCGAGGGGGTCACAGAGAAGCGAGTGACCGGCGACAGCTTCGTTTTTTGTTTTTTTCTTAAGTTTTTCATTTTTTGTTTTTTTCTTTTTTCTTTTTTTTTTTTTTTTTTACTCGTTATCCCGACCCCGCTTTCTCTTCCTTTTTTTGTCAGAATTTTGTTTTTTTTTTTTTGCTTTTTGTCTAGTTCTCTTTTATTGTTTTTTTTTTTTTTTTTTTTTTTTATTTTTTTACTCTGTCTTATATTTACTTTAATTTCTTTTAAGAATTTGTTTTTTTTTTTTTTTTTTTTTTTTTTTTTTTTTTTTTTTTTTTTTTTTTTTTTTTTTTTTTTTTTTTTTTTTTTTTTTTTTTTTTTTTTTTTTTTTTTTTTTTTTTTTTTTTTTTTTTTTTTTTTTTTTTTTTTTTTTTTTTTTTTTTTTTTTTTTTTTTTTTTTTTTTTTTTTTTTTTTTTTTTTTTTTTGTAAACAAACCACATGCATTTGGAATAGAGCTGGCTTAGCGGTCGTACACGATGTCGTTACTAATAAGCAGTGAGGAATGAGTTCTGTTGGAATCACTGAGATCGTTATACTTGAGTCATATCGATCGCATTGTTGTTGTGAGCGGTGAAGCGGATTTTCCCATGCTACCTTGTCAATTTTAGCTCCTATCACTTCCGTACCCGCCAATAACGCTCCCGATATCACTATCATATCACCCTGTATCGCCTCTCGGATCAGAGGTCCCACTGTTGCTGTAACCTGCGTTACAAATCTGATGAAACCCTCCCCCTCCAGGCCGGCTTAACCGTATCTTATCCTAACTGTTATTCGCTTCTGTCGACCCCGCAATAATTTCGCCTGTCCACACCCTAAAAAAAAAACAAAAAAAAAAAAATAAATAATGCACCTCAACGGATCTGAGGTTCCCACTGTGCTGTAATCTGTCGCCAACAAATTTGATGACCGCTCCTCTACCGAGGCCCCTATATCGGATAAATTATCAAACGCTTAGTTCTCGAGCTTCTGCCAGCCCCACCCTACGGCATATCAGTATTTGACAATCATGGTCCCGCCGTTGCTGCAACTTGCCACGAATTCGGTTACCCTCCCTTTTAAGGCCCCTTATCGAATCTTATCAAAATGTTAGTCACTTCCTCGTCAACCAAAAAGATCGTCCCGTCCTGCGCATGTATATCACTTCTTGGAGAGATCCCAACGCCGCCCAGGCAGCCTCGCTCGCAACTGCGTCTAAAGCGATTTCGGTCACCCCCCCCCCCTTCTAAGGCCCCTCATCGAATCTTATCAAGTGTCATCACCTCCTGTCACCCATTAAAAGTGTTCCCGTCCTGCCATGTTACCACCGCTAACTTGAAAACATCCAGCAGTCGCCGCAGCTGCTCGGCAACTTGCGCGTTACGAAGTGTTGGTTACCGCGCCCCCCCCCTTGCCTAAGGCCCCTTTATATCGAATCTATCAAGTGTTATCACCTCCTGTCACGCACCTAAAGTGTTCCCGTCCTGCCATGTATATCACTTCTTGAAAATCACGGTCCTGCAGCTGCTGCAAATTGCGCTACAATTTCGTCACCCTCCCCTTCTAAGGCCCCTTATCGAATCTTATCAAGTGTCATCACCTTCTATCACCCATCAAAAGTGTTCCCGTCCTGCCATGTATATCACTTCTTAAACGAAGGATCAGCGGGGTCCGTGCACGCTGGCTGCAAATTGCGCTATCAATTTCGTCCCCCTCCCCTTCTAAGGGCGCCCCTTACCATCGAGTAATCCTTAGCGTAGTGCTATGCACCGCAATACATTCCCTGATCACACGCCGGCAACACAGCATAAAAGTGTTACCGTTCCTGCTATGTATTATTCACTTCTTGAAATCAACGGTCCGGCCGCACTACCTTGCTGGCTAACTTGCGCTCAGGAGCGGAATTCAGATCCACCCTCCCCTTTCTACGGCGCCTTATCGTATCTTATCAAAGTGCTATCACCAGAACACACCACTCAAAGTGTTCCCGTCCTGCCATGTATATCACTTCTTGGAACTGTCATCCTATCTTTTCTGGGACGCTCGCTATGAATTTCGTGACACACACACACACACATACACACACACCAGTAGCGGATTTAATATAGTATAAGGATCTTTATTGAGATAACAACACAAGAGTGCGTCCGCTAAAATTATGAAACCGACTTCCTTCTTCTTTCTTGTAAGAAATGTTGATTACAACCAGGTCTCCGGAGATTGCAGCCAATCGAAACTTTATGAAAAAGTGGCAGAAAACCAAAGAGGATCGTTTGCTGCTGCAAAATTTTCATTTCCTCAACGGGAACGGTACCACGATAGCCCAAAGAACGAGGCAAATTAAAGTGACATTGTAGTTCCGATCACTTTATTTCAGCATGGCGTGCATAAGAAAGCTAAAAAATGGTCAAATTCCGAAGCGAAACATATTTCTTTGAAAATCATATTAGTGTTAGGTCCCTATGCTGTACCTTATGAGGTTTCTGTGAAGTACAATTTGTTTCTTTCTACTCACTTTAATATATTTATATAATTTCCACTTCTACTTACTTCTACACATACTAATATTATTATAACTAGGCACGCCCTCCCGTTGGGGAATATTTCTGTCGCTTTTGTCCTCTGATGCGATCCCCCCCCATCCTATCTACCACTTCTCCAGGTTCCTACAGTAAGTTCTCTCCGCTTTGGCTGCAGAGAACCGCAAAAAATGAACAAATGAAAAATTATTGCGAAACGCGGCGAATGTCTCTCAGAGCAAATACGATCCCTCCTTTTAAGATCTCCCAATGATGTGAATAGCTCCGTGGGACACAAAGATCAGCTATCGAAAAAATTTCTCACATACCACATACTATCTCGTCTACGTTATACAAGGGCACGCCCTACGCTGGGGATTCCCCTGCATAGAACGTGCCCTGATAACATTTAATATTTGCTGAATTCGTTGAAAGTGAACTGGAAGACAAATTTTCAAAACATAACAATAAAAAACCATAGCAGTTTGATCCAAAAGTTGGTTAGTTGTTGAAACAAAGGCGATCGCCGTGATTAGACAAACTTGGCAGTGGGCCAAAATGTCCTTTGCATGGTATGTGAGAATTTAAGACATTCATGAATATAGCGCTGTGAAACCCGTGAGCCACTGTGCACTTGCAATCATACAAACCGATCAATATCTATTTGTATCACACCTTAATAAATGGAATACACCCTCTGAGTACTAATGCAACCATTTTATCTACTCGAGGGACACACAACTTACGGGAACGAACGAGTGGCGCTCAAATGTTCCCACGCATTAAAATAATCAATACGAACCCGGCCTCAGCTGGGAAACCAATCGATGACACCCACCCTAATGTTAACCCACAATCTCCGGTTTTAGAGCTACGTTTCTCACACCTATCGCTATCGCTGCACCTAAAAGAGTCTATAAAAGTGCTTAAACAGGGGGAAGTCACGAAACCACGGGTAGACGTCGACGATTGGGCGCGCTGACGAAAAACTACAGGCGAGATGCGAGTTTCGATCGATATTATTGATTGCCCTGCAACATGTGACGTCATTCCCGTCGGCGGAAAAACACCCGCCCCCTGACGGCGAGTCGCTAGCGGGGCCCAACGACAGGACACCTCTCAGCATCAGCCCACCTCCTGTGAAGATCTGGCTCATCGTTTAGCTCGAGTGGGTGAGAATGAGCTGAAGATTTCTCGCGATGAACTGTTGCAATCTAGCAGGCTACGAAGGGGATACGCATTGATCCGAAAGCTACAGGAAGACCTCAAAACCCCGCTTAGAGAGGACCAGGCTTGTGCGTTGACTCTTGGTCTTTCTGCGGTACTACCTTCTAGAGTCAGCCTGACCATGCGACGACCTCGACAGCACAAAAACTGGCCCAGACAAGCGCCATTTGGCGCGATCACATAGCTGAAAACAAAGGTCACAACATATTGGGTGAAACGATGTCACGGATCGATACGTATTCTTCTCACACAGCGTTTACCGTACCAAATTACCCGCCCCTGACGGCGAATTGGAGCAGTGCACGACTGGACACCTCGCTATCATCACCCGTCATTCTGGAAAGCTCTGGCTCATTATTTAGTGCGACGGGTGCAAACGAGATGAAGATCACTCGCGATGCTAACGACGAACAGTTGCAACGTACATTGTGAAAAACATATCTATTGATCCGGAGACTTCGGGAAGGACTCAAAAACTTCGCTTCGACGAGTAAGACGTACGCCAAGCCATATGCGTTGACTCAATGGTCCTTCTGGAGTAAGTCTGACCGTTCGAAGACTTTGACGAAAACTGGCCCAACAAAGTGCTGCCTTGGCTAAATCACATAGTTTCTAACACATTTTGTCAGGAAATGGATCGATCGATACGTTATTCTTCTCACTTGATGTATAAAGGTGTCGTATTTAGTTTTCAGGGAATACTGTGGTTAAACATCGTATAAACACGTCTGAGATAGTGACATCATCAATCAATACCCTCTTCCATAATGTTGGATCAATAGCTACCATTTTCATGTAACTCACTATTAATCAATTACGGCTTTGAGAAACGGGAAAATTCGAAATAAAAGACACCAAGGTGGGGAAGCGCTCTCAAAGGACTCTGTACAAAATTGAGTCAAGGTCGTCTAAATAGAACTACCGTGAGGGTTTACCAAAGCCGGGAGCTCGTTCCCATTTGAGCTTTTTGAAGTCAATGAGATTTCCTCTTTGAGCTTAGGCATAGTCCTCATCTGTATTGCGGAAACTGCCCCTCCTAAGGTTACTAGCGCCAAATGAACAAAAGAACGCCTAGGACTACCTAAATAAAAATAACTAATTAAATATGTCTACGACCACAACCTTTACTTATGGACACTAATGTTGCTTGAGCATTGATCTGTCAACTTTCTACTTTGATCAATATATTAAACACCATTCCCCTGTTGAAATGTATCAGCTCTGGTTTTTACAGTATGACAAAGGCTCCAATGGAACTATAATTAGCCTGCGCCGATGCCGAGTCCACGTGACAATCACGTGCTTCACGTACAACCGGAAGTATTTAGAAACCGGCGCGCTGCATTCTTTCATGATCAGCCCTTGAAAAGAATGAAATCAGTACCCCTCGGATTAAACCCTGACATATTTTCAGCAAACAACTGTAGAAAGTAGATCATTTTGATTCTAGCAATTATTGCTCAGCCGAATTCAAATAAGAGCATTGTACACCATTATAATTCATTAATAATTAGATCATTGGCATTCCTCGGCAACAGGGGGTGGGGTGGGGTGGGACGAACTTTGCGCTTCGGCTGCTTCACTAGTTCCGGTTTACAAGTCTCACTCTGGTAAAACCTGTGAACGCTTGTGAAGCTGGAGAAAACTCGTCAAGCCACCATAGCACAAGCTGTCAACTCTAGTAAGCTCACGAAATAGCTCTCGCGATAGCACGACACGCTGATGGGAAGTAGCAAAAGTGCAAAATGCCCCTCCCCCGTTGCTGAATGCCCCAAATTATTTGATGAATTCTGAGGTGTCTGGATATAACAACTGAATAAAAATATAACTTAAATGAAACACATAATAATGCAAATCCTGAATGTTCTGTATGAAATGGTTCGCATTTAAGTTGTATTTTTTATTCAGTTGTTATATCCAGACACCTCAGAATTCATCAAATAATTTGGGGCATTCAGCAAGGGGGAGTGGCATTTTGCACTTTTGCTACTTACCATCAGCGTGTTGTGCTACCGCGAGAGCTG